ATCTGTTCTCTGCCATAGCTTAGGGCTGGAAGGCAGGCTTGGGACTGGCTTGATCATCCCTTCACACACGGTGTGTGACCTTCAGTCGTGCTTGGTGTCACCTCTGTTGTGGACACCACACATTTTCTCAGTGACTCAATGAGGAATGCACTCAAGGACATGCAGAGGGAGGTTGCTCGGGTCCTCCCCCCTCCCCCCTTTGCAGTTGGCTCCTTCTCCTCTTGCCTCTTCCTCCCAAGTGCTGGGATGGAAGGTGTTTACCACCATGCCTGGCAAAGTTCTTTCTCATCGGTGAGGCTCAAACACATGAACCACAAGCTTCTACCATCCTGGGATGGTAGTCTTGAGGCTAGGATGTTGTCGAGGAGGGCAGGTGTAAGGGCTACAGTGCTGAGGGATGGAGGGGCTGCGTGAGCACCACTGTGCCCTGCCTTCTGGGACTGCCAGTGGCCTCAAGCTAATTGGCCTTTGCCGAAGAGAAGTCCTGTTCGTGGGAGATGGGAGTTGTCCCGGAGTGGTAAATGGCAGCAGACATGCAAGCTCCCACCTTTTGCAAAGGTTCTGAGGCAGTATGCCTGGAGGGGGCTGGAACTAAAGGGTTTCAGGTTAGCTGAAGCAGAATGTGCCAGAATGGCAACAACCAGATTGAGACACATGCTTGCAGGCCTGCCGAGGCCTTTGTGATCCGACCCCAAGGCTCCAGAAAACCATTAAGTTGGTGCAGGCAGACGTGGCTGGCAAGACTGTAGGAAACATTCTTCCCTCTCACAACACCAGGTGTTTCTCCACATTCCCCCACCTCCCTTGTGGGAGAAGCTTTGTTGTAGAATGCAGGAACTAGCCCAGGAGGGGACCCGAGTGACTGGGTGGGGAGGGAGCTGAGATGCCAGCTCACACTGCAGAGATCCACCCTTGTCCCATTGGCCTGCTGTGGAGAACTGCATGTCCTCCGCCACTCACCAGCCTTCAGGCCTTGATGTGATCTGTGGAAGTCCTGGGACACCGGCTGATAACAGATGTTTGACCCTTGTTTTCTGTGTAGGGCTAAGAAACCTTTGCTTTTAAAGGCCATTCGGCAAACCTTCTGCCCTGAGCTTATGTGAGCGTGGGTTTTCCCACGCCACAGACTGGTCAGTGGGAGGCTTCTCTGCTGTAAAGTGGAGGATGGGGTGAGCTGAAGACCTCATAGGCTCTGGTAGGACCTGGCCATTTCTCAGTATCATGTCTTACCAGGTAAGCCCCACTCCATAGTCAGCGGGACTGCCAAGTGAATGATGATTCCTCCGTAAGCTTGGTGCTTCTTTTCATAACTGTTTTGTTCTTCTCTTCCTCCTCCACCTCTTCCTCCCCCTCTTCTTCTTTGTCATCACTGCTATCATCATCTCAGGCTGGCCTCAGACTCACAGAGATCCCCCTGCCTCTACCTCCTGAGTACTAGGATTAAAGGTTGATCTACCATGACCAACCAAAAAAAAATTTTTTTTAAGTTAATTTAAGTAAGTAATTTGTGGGTGAGTAGGTGTGAGTGAGTGTGGGTGCATGTGCAGTTAGAGGTCAGTCTTGCCTTTCAGGTCTGTTTTTGTAAACTTTATTTTATGTGCATTGATGTTTTGCCTGCATATGTCTATGCCTCATAGGTGTGAGTCACAGACAGTTGTGAGCGGCCATGTGTGTGTGCTGGGAATTGAACCTGGGTCCTCTGGAAGAGCAGTCAGTGCTCTCAACCATTGGGCCGTCTCTTTAGTCCCAGGTTAAGTCTCATGTCATTTTGTTATTGTCGTTCCCCCCAATGCAGAGCTGAGGACCAAACCCAGGAAGGGCCTTGGGCTTGCTAGACAAGCCCTCTACCGCTGAGTTCAGTCCCCTCTGCATCTTAGTTTTGGTTTTTGTTTATTATTTTATTTTTTGAGACAGTCTTACATGGAGCCTTCAGCTTGCTGGTCATGCGAGGCTGGCTGGCCACTGAGCCCAGGGAGTCACCTGCTTCTACCTCTATGAAGCTGGGATTACAAGCAGGCAACACCATGTCCGGCACATGGACATGGTACATGGGCATGGGTTTGTGTCCTCATGCAGGGCAAACACCTGACTGAGGGAGCCATCCCCACAGTCCTTGTGTGTGTGGTATCCCGTGGATCTGTGGCTGTCTTCTTTAGGGTAAAAGCCATGCCTGCTTTCTTTGCACTGCCAGTGTGTTGCTGGTTCACCGTCCTTACCCAGTGTTGTGACCAAACCTTCTTACTGTGTGAGTCCCCAGCATGCCACTGTTTTCTAAGGAAAACTCTAAGAGGTTAATTACCCAAAGTGCACACACATTTTAGGGAAGCTGATAACATGGCATTTCATAAGTTTCTGGAAGGTTCCTGGCCAATTCTGGTGCCAGCAGCGATGTGTCTGGAACCTGGCAATCTCCTGAAAGCCTTCTCTAATAAAGGCAACAATTGATTTTATTTTTGTTTGTTTGATAGGTAAAATAGATTTCTTCCCATTTTATTCAGTGTCTGGTCACTACTGTCCCTTGATGTTCTGTGTTGATTGACCATTCGAGTTTATTTGCATACTCTCGGCTCATGAGATCTCACCCCACACAGTCTGTTTGGTTGGAGTTCGTGTGCTGGGAATATGGCTCAGTGGGTCAGCTGCTTGAGAAGTCCCTGGATCCCATTCCCAGCACCTCATAATTTGAAGGGGTGGCACACAGGTGTGTAGTTGCAGGACTCTGGGTTAGGGAGCAGGAGGGTCAGGAGTTCAAGGTCAGCCTCAGTTATTTCCTGACCAGCCTGGACCACAGGAGACTCTGCCTCAAAACAAGCAGGGTGTGTATGTGTTTATAGTCCTTCGAAACATGCAACACCTAGCATTAGTTATACCAGTAAATCCTATGCTGGTACGGCTTCACGCCATTTCTGCCTTGTCATTGTACTGACAATGTTTTTGATGATATTTTGTGTAATTTTCCCTTTGTCTTTATCATTTCTTTTGCACGTAAAAGAGAAAGAGTTAAAGGCCACGAACCGAAGCTTTTAAGGCTGGCAGTAACTTCCCAGCCTGTATCTCTTTCCTGCTTACCTTACTCTCTAGCTGTTTTTATGATTCTGTTTTCAGATTAAATTAATGGATCTTGCAGTGTGTATCTAGGAAGACATAGATACAGGAATTTAGACCCTGGTAAGTTTACCAGATGGGTGCATGTGGTGTTTAATGGCTATTACTGCATCCTTTCTCCATACATTTAAAATTCTACTTTTATAATATACTAAGTTCTTATTTAAATATTTTCAGCAAGTGAGATATCTAATTTTTCATGGAGTTGTCTGGTTGCTTCTACACCAGTTCCTGAATTTTAATATTAATTTTATTTTTGTTTATGTGTATGCATGTGTGTGTTTGTGTGTGTATGCCCCGTGTGTGAGGGTCCAGGGTCTTTGGAAATCAGAAGAGGCTGTTGGATCCCCTGGAACTGGAGTGATAGACATTTGTGAGATGCTATGTGGGTTTTGGAAACCAAGCCAGGAACCTCTTCAACTAGCAGCCAGCGCTCTTAGCTTCTGAGATATCTCTCTAGCCTTCAGCTCCTGCATTTTAAAAATCACAGTGGCTTCATAGTCTATTTCCACACCAGTAGTTCCATCCCCTCATTCTAATTTTTTTCTATTTTATCTGCAACTAAACTTTTTGAGAGGCGAATACATGCACATAGCAGCGCATGGAGCATTGCCGTAGAGTGCATCCTTCAGCACCTACTATTGAATCCAGGGCCTCATACACATTGGGCAAGAACTCTACCATTGGCTCCCATCCCCCAGCCCTCTTCCTCCACCTCAGCCTCCTGAGTAGCTGGGATCACAGGCTTGTGCCAGTAGACCCAGCTCTGGAGTTCCCGATTCTTTTCCTCCTCTTGCTCTCTTCCTTCTTTTTCCCCTTCTCTTCCTCCTCCTCCTCCTCTTTCTTTTTATTTATTTATTTTTTTATGGCACAAACCCAGGGTTTTTGTGCAAGAGGCAAGTTCTTTACCGCTGATCCGCCTCCCAGTTCCTAGGAGTTGGGGTTTTAGTCAAAGGGAGCTGGGCTTCTGGATGTTTCCTATCCACAGTCCTTGGTGGCTTCCCTGCATGTCGCTCGGTTCTGCTTCAACACCTGCTGCTATGCCCCGCTCCCGTTTTCTGGTGGCTCAGCCTCTTTTTGATTAGAAGGGAATGTGAACACTTGAGTCTCTTATGTCTCAGAATTCCTCATCAGGATTTTTAAAAGACAGGATCTCATCCTGTAGCTCAAGTTAGCGGGAACCACTCTATTTAGACTAGGCTTGCCTTGAACATGCGAACCTTAGTCTCCTGCGTGCTGGGGTTACAGGCACGAACCCACACACCTGGTAGCAGTTGTTCTTAAAGCCCCTTTGCTTACATTCTGGCCTTTTCTGTCCTCTTGTGTGAAATTCAGCTGCTCACCACTGTAATGAAGTACTGGACTCAAGAAGCTTAAAAAGAGAAAGGGCCCATCTCGAGTCACAGTGTTGCGGGTAAACTCTGTGATGTCCTGGGCGCGTTCTTCTGGGGCTGCAGGAAGGCAGCGCACTGTTACTGCAATGGATGCTGCCTTCACAGAGCTCACTTCATTGCCAGGAAGCAAAAGTGGGAGGTGAGGCCTGGAGTCCTACCTAACCCACTTTGAGGGCAATGACCTAAAGATTTCCACCTCCCCACAGCTCTGCAGGGTGAGAGCCAAACTTTCAACGCGGATAGGGGATCATTCAAGCAAGGGGTGCGGACATCTGAAAAAAGGAATCGGGGTGCAGGTATCTGAAAAAGGAACCGCGCTGGCAGGTGGGAATGAGAGCAGATGCTAGAAGTGAGGCATTAGGACTGCAAGGAGAGGCCTACCAAGACTCTGCCTCCTCCCCCTTCCTTGAGGGAGGGCGCTTTACTCCCCCCTTACCCTCTCCCTCGCCTCTCTCCTCTCTTGCCATCTTTAAAAACCACACGCAGGCAGAAATCAATCCATCAAATGTCATTACCGATTTATTAAAGCCTGATGTAGAAAGACATTTAGCAGTGCCATCTCCAGGAAGCGTAAAAAGAGCACTTCAATTCAGTCTTGTGCTTTGAAAATCTAAATATATTTTTATCATATAAATAATTCTTTTCATGTTTTAAGTGCATCTGTGTGTATGGGTTTTTATCCCCCTCTCCCCCGTCTCTTCACTCTTTTAATTTCCATTTTTTTCTTCCCTAAATTGGCCAAAGTCTGAAATGACGGACACCTGCCAAACTAATGGTGTCAGGAGGTGCCTCTGCAGTCTAGCACCGCTACCAGTAGATTCCAGAACTGTGGTTCAGGGTCTGTTGCGTCACAATGAAGGAAGCCTCTGGCAAAATTCTCAGAGAGCATACCCAGGTCCTTAGGTCCGCAGGGAAGACTCTCAGGACCATCACTGTGAGGTTTCAGGTGGGAAGGGTCTGTTTAAAATAACTGCTGAGCGAGGAGGAAAAGGACTTTTTTGTTTTCCCTTTTGCTACAAACAGAAAGAGTTATCAAGTTTAAAAGTGTAAATAATTCACCTAGAGACAGCTTTTTGATGGAAATGAGGGGCTCCATACAACCTTGGCGAGCATGCTGTTGTGTTTTCATAGTAGCTAAGAGTATTATCGGTTATTTAGGGCTTTAATTACATTCTCAAAGTAGAATGAGTTTTCCTTAAAAAAAAAAGCCCACTCTTTAGATGTAAAAAATAATGGCTTTTGTGATATAATTTAAGGGCTTTCTTCATTTCCACCATCAGGATTTATTCCTAGTGATAAAACTGTATTAAAACTGTCTCTTTCTGCAGGTAACTTCCGGGCAAGGGCAGCATAGGCAGGCCCATGCTTGAAGTGGGTCCACGCCTACGTCATTTTTATCCCTCAAGGGGCTGATGGGGTAGCTGCTGTTGCTCTGATTTAGGTCCTAAGGGATATCACACCTGATTGTTTACAGTGAGGGTGGTGGTGACAGGTTGGTGGCGCCTAGGGACCAAAGAAAAGAGGCCCACCTTTTCTGAAATACTCATTCTTCCCCCTGGAAGATCATTTCCCAGCTGGACCATTTGCCTTTGGATGGTGACGAGGTGGCAAAGACCTTTGGAACTTTGCAAACAGCGTTGGCCTTGAGAATGAGTTTCAGGATGTTGGGAAAACAAGGGAAGTGTTTTCCAGATTCCTAGAGAAGCAGGCAAAGAGGCCTGTCTGTGATGAGTCTGTCTGGCCACACGGTGGTATAATCTTCCCAGTGGATCACTTTTGGTTTTGTTATTTTCGTCCTTTTTCTTTTCTTTTCTTTTTTTCCCTTTTTTCTCCCCTGTCTTCTTCATTGCAAGGACAATTTATAAGCCTCCTAAACAAGTGAAACATGGTTTTGATTAAAACAGCCTGTTGGCTCAATAATCTGTGTAATTTTAAAAACATCCTTAATGCCGCGGAGGAACACGATGATGTCAGGAACGGCCTGGGGCCCCATTACAACAGTAACGGAATAAATAAAGAGCAGAAGCACGGGGTCATAAAAACAAAATTAAGCTAATGTTTCAAATTTTGACAATTATGAATTCTTCCTCTAAAGAAGACATTAAAAATAATCTTTTTTTTTTTTTTTTTTTTTTTTTTTTTTTTTTTGTTTCCCAGGCACTGTTAGATAAAATGCAAAGAGGCTAGTTCTACATGGATGAGTTTGTGGTTTTCCCATGGGGTAAAGCATGCCTTTAGAGGAAAACTCAGCCAAATCAGGGCATCGGTTCCTCCTTGGATCCAGCGACCGGATGGGCTCATGCAGGCGGACGGCCGTGGTTCTTAGAATTTCTTAAGAAACACAGCCCTAATGCTTCCATAAGCTATCAGAAGTGAATGATCAGGGGAAATGACAAGCATATTGGTTGTTTTTTTTTTTTTTTCTCTCCAATGCAAAACAATCCCGCATTGTGGGCCAGTCTGGTAGGAAACAGAATCAAGTAAATATATAAAAAAGAAAATCTGCGTCCGTACACGGCGATCTAGTCAGTATATACAAATATGTACAGCATGGTGTTCCCAGCCATGCAGGCTGCCGCTCTCCCAGCAGAGCAGCCTGTTCGTTCCCCCTTCTTCTAGTGCACCAACACCGCACACCCGGCATGCGGGAGAGAGTAGAGGCCGCGCACCGAGCATTCTACAGGTATGGCTGCAGTCATTTTCTCTGAAAACAATTCGTCTGCTTTCTGAATATAAAAATGTTTGTTTCTGTCCCGGAAGCAAACACTTCCCTCCAGAGCAAGGATAAATGTGGTTCCTGAAAATTTTTCTGAACCCCTCTGTCCCCACCCGGAGCCCAGTTACTTTTTTTTTTTTTTTTTAATTAAGATAGATTCAAAATTTGGAATGGATGCAAGAGACCTTTCCCAGCTTGTCACAGAAGACTCCTGCAGAACCAGAAACAGTTGGCCGTCACAGGTCCGCTTGGATATTCAAGGGGTTTGAAAGTTTGCGGTTCATCCTTCTGGGATCCAGCTCTCAGGAAGCAAGCCCAAGGGGATGAGACCTAAAAGTGTGTGCCAAACTGGGGTTTTATGACGCGGAAGAACCCTGAGCCAAAGGTCACATTTTGGCACGTTTGTTACGTTTGCAGCGTGAAGAAGGAAGGCAAAGTCTTGCGTCTCGACTCGGATTTCTGCGGGCTTTCTCTCCAGGCAGAACGGACCCACACTGTTTTAATTGTTTCTTTGGCGTAGATCGGTGGAACTTTCTGTCCCTCAATATCTGCACACACCTTTATAACTCCGGAGTGTTCCAGAAGTCATTTTGAAAGTGAAAATAGGACCGGACCCAGCTCTATAGTTGAGACATAATCAGAGATTGTTCGTTCTATAAATATTAGCCTTTGCCTGGGGACAGACAGTCAGATGTAGGTTTCAGGTGCAAAATAATTCAGAGAGCATACTGAAATATATTTCCTGAAAGGCTTCAAGGGAGTGCTTAGACTTAGATTTTTTTTTTTAAAGTAATGTATTTTTTTTCAAACTTTTTTTTTTTAACATCTCCTGGGGGCTCCAACCAAAAGTTATTACTTTTATTTCCAAAAGCTGTTTTAAGCAAATAAACACAGTTCAAGGGGCTGTATTTGATCTGTTTCCTTCAAACAGACGTTACTGTAGACAGCCCTCACGGCAGTGTATGGCTATTGTCACGTCATTTGTATGCTGAAGGGTGTCAAGCCAGGGTGTCACTTCTCGGAAGAGCTATTTTACTCCGAATATATTTTTCCAAGGGAAACGGACAGTCTTGTTGCAGAAATATCATTCCACCTGGTACTAGCATTTTAAGACAGGCCATTTCTAATCCATAAAACATTTCCACTATTGCACGCCCCCCATCCCCCCCCAAAAAAAGCTTTGGGTCGCCTTGTGCATGAATAACTTTTGGAGGCACTACTAGGCCTGTTAGCCAAGGGTTCATAACTATTGGAAGGAGATTTTAACTAGAGACCGGGAATTATATATCTGCATAGCCTTCTAACGCTGTCACAGGAAACCTAAGGACAGTTTACTTTGGATGGAGCGGTCAAATTCTAGCCGGGAAATTCTAAAGACGATGCGCGGTTTTTCCTGCCAGAGAGATGCAGCTCTTCATCCACAGGGCTGGAGAGTCACATCTCTTCCTCCAGCTCAATCTTTGTCTAAAAGTATTTTATGGCTATTTGGAGAAAGTGCCACACAGAGGAAGGGAGAAAATGAAATTAGCATTTTTTGCACCTCACAGAGGGAGCAAAATAAACCAAAAGTTGAGTTTTGATTTTTTTTTTTTGTTGCTTTTGCCTCTTCAAAACAGACAGCACTGAATTTGCTTTAGAACTATGTGTGTATGTGCAGTTTATGGCCTTCAACATATTCCCTTGTTATTTTATATTCATTTCCACACTGGCACTCTATTCAGGGGACAGCGGATCACGGGAATACGGCACTTTATATGTTCTTACTTAATGTGTGTGTGTGCGAGGACTTGCATGTGTACGTATGTGTATCATGTGTGTGTCTGGTGAACTCGGAGGCCAGAACTTGAGTGGCCGTGAGTGTGCTGGGAACTGAACCCAGGTCTGTTGTAAGAGCAGCCAGTGCTCACAACCACTGAGCCATCTCTTTAGTCCTAATAGAAGCTGCTGCTGTCTTCCTCCCCCTCTTCTCTTTCCTTCCTTTTATAAAAACATTGAACACATTTAAAAATGATCCCCCCCCTCCAAAAAAAAAAAAAAAAGAAGAAGAAAGGCCTGAGCCTTGTCAGATAACCTGGCCAGTGGCAGATGATAAACAGAATCTGGGGACCTTGTATGATCTGTGTCTTCAGGTTGACTGAAAAGTTTTTGAAGATTCTTATCACTGTCCTATCCAGACGGTAGTCATCAGTGAGCTTCCAGCATATGGATGCAGGTATGAACATCCACCACGAGTGCGTGTGCGCGCACACACACACACATACACACACACACACACACACACATATACTCACACACATTCATATACGCTCACTCACCTCTTCCCAACACGGCAAACATATGGATGCAGGTATGAACATCCACCATGAGCATGCACACGCACGCACGCGCGCGAGCGCGCGCACGCACACACACACACACACACACTCATATACGCTCACTCACCTCTTCCCAACATGGCACTGTAATTCATGTTTTCTGTTGCAACAGAATTTGGGGGATTTTGCTCAGAACATTAGTTATGTAAGAGCCGAGCGACCAAGCAGGCATATTTTGGTGGTGAGTTTTTAGGGAAATCTATTTGTGTTCTCAACGAAATTCCTTGGGGGCTGTCTGGGCTATCCGATTTATTTTTATGGCTTTTAGGCCTTAACCTATTTGGAAGCTCCTTTTCTTCCCTGTATGTTTTTCACAGGGAAAAATTCCTTATTGTGAAAATACTAGGATTCTGACCCTCAGTGGACACTGTCCTCAGATGTCCAGGCAGTGGCTGGTGAAACAGTCCTGTCTGAAACAGGAGGGCCGAGATGAAAGGTTCGTGGTGGTACTCCTATTTCCGGGATACACATGGTAGGAGCCTAACAAGATGGGTTGAGAGAATTTGCTGAATAAATTGCTTTTCCTGTTGGAAAAGTGCTGTCAGAGCTTATGATGTCTATCTGCAGATTTGCTGAAATACATAAAATTTAAATATTTGCATATATATATATTTTAATGGGCTCTTCGCGTTTCAGCCGGTTGGTGGCCTTAGTTGGAAGGAGGCGTGGAGAAGGAAAGGGTACCTCTCATTGTCTCTGATCCCAAAGGGTGGCTGAAGAGTGGAGGTACTCAAAGGTAATTTGCATGATATTTGCATATCATTCCTCTTCCATTTCTGTGGTTCCAGCTTATCTGAGGGAGGAAGGAAGTGGTAGGCAAGCAGATAAAAACATTCTCCTGGAGTTCAAGCTATTTCATTTTTTTTTCTCTCCAGGAAGAAGTTTCTAGAAGCTTCCCAGGCTTGCCAAATGAAGACAGGCCCGGTGTCTAGAAATACACGGAGCTGTGCACGGCATGGTGCCGGCTCAGACCTTGTTTTCTGCAGAGAACATTAACAGCTGTCTCTCAGCGGCGACGTTCACAGTTGCCAAGTGACAACTCAGGAGTCTAACCAAATTTATCAATATTTTTGTCTCTCGCCTCCCACCTCACCCCACCAGAGAAATTGCACTAATAGAACCATATAGATTATATTCGAAACAGCGATTTATTCTTATTTTCTTCTTAGGAGTGAACCGGTTACCTAGGAGTTTGGAACTGTATTGGGTCCTCCCAGGTGGGTCACGAGCTCAGCGTTTGCTTTTGGTTGGTTCCAGAGGATCTGAATTATGTAGCTTTGCCTAATAACCCTGGGTTGGAGCAGGCGATTTTTATCAGCTTCACGGAGCCCCGTGCTAATGTATTATCCCGCCCACCCCCCCCTTTAATAGAATCTCCCGTTGAAGGACAGAGCTCAGCCGAGTCCACCCTTCCATCTTAACCCATCCGAAGACGGTCCTTTCCAGCTGAGTTCCGTTCATTTCTGGTTGAACAGGTTAAGCAGACAGACCTCTCTCTGTTCTCAATTCACTTTATGATCCTCCCATCATAAAAAATAATATCAGCACCTTGCTTTTCATGTCAGAACTACATCCGAGCCGCTGTTCCCCGTGCCCATGAGTAAATCCCATAAAAGCCGCCCCGTTGTACTGTTGTTATTTTTCCTTGTGGGTGATTGATTGATGGATGAGTGCTGACACTTCAATGAAGCTATTTCGCCTGCCATCTCAATCCGATGATGTGAGGGGTATATTTTCCGTCCATGCCTCATTACTTCAGAATGACATTCCTGGAACTTCATTTACTTTTCCCCTCCTTCCCTGAAGCACCGTATTTTTCCCCATCTAGGTTATGCATGCCATAAAAAAAGCAATTTGCTATTATATGTGGCATAAGGGCAACACTTTCCTTAGGAGGTAAATAAGTTTTTTTTCTTTCTTTTTTTTTCTTCTTCAAATTTTATTTTAAATCCCAGCGTCGAATTTAGGGATCATGTCAAAATTTCCAAGACATTTCCAACAGGCAGCCTTTATAATAAACGGTGAAAAGGATGTATTTGGCTTCATTTTGTCAGCCTTCACACTCCCCCCCCCCTTTTCTTTTGGATAACCTTGGTAATTAAAACAAGAACACAAAATAGTCATTTGTTTCAGAATATTGTGCTGAGAATAGTTTAAATATTTCACCTATAGCCGAGTAGCAATTTACAATACAATCCAGACTTGGCTGTCCTATGAGAATAAAGAGACCATTGTTTAAATGAAATGATGGATTTATCTATTATAGATTACTCTCCATTGTACAGAAAATGCTCAGCTAGAATAACTGCATCTTCCCCTGCGCTTCCAAACTGTGTACTAGGTCTGTGAGACTTTAATATTAAAACATGCTCTTAGCTTTTCCAAGTTGACTTAGGACCTGATTTTAATCTGTGTAATACAGTATTCCCGTTAATAATAACGTGTAATTAAGACATCCGTTAAAAATCCATAACGTTAATTTAATGGAGAAAATCTAATACAGTTCTATTGGAATTTTTACGTTAAATTAACTTTAACGGGCTTTTAATGGATGTCTTAATTAGATCTCATTATTAACGGGAATATTCCACAAATTAAAATTGGGCCCTTAAAGTTTTAATGAAAAAAGTTGCAGGAACACGTTTAAAACGGACACCCTGTTTTCATGCATTCTGCTGGTTCAAAGGAGAAGCTGCATTTGAGAGGCAACAGGTCCGGCAAGGAGGGGTTGCCAGTGAAGGTGGCCTCTTCACCTGGCACTCTCGGTGATGCATTGCCATCTTGCTTTCTCTGGGGTTCTAGTCTGCACCCCTCCCGGTTTGCAGGGCTCATCCTACAGTGGTGCATGCTGGGAGCTAAGCTTACAAAACCACTCAAGATAACCGTGGAGGACGCACTCCACAGGAAAAAGCCTTTGGCAGCAACACGGTTAAGCCTGTCTATTCCAACAACTTTCACAGAAGATGAACATGGTTGGGAGGTTTTCTTGGCTCAAACTCCGGTTTAACTTAATAACTCTTCTACTCTGAGGTGATTAATGGCTCCCCGGTGCAGGGGCAGGACTAGGGAATCCAGGTGCAACCTTAATTGTTACACTGAACAGAAACATTTCCTTTAGACAAACGTTCCCAGGGGGGTTATAAATAGGAAATGGACGTTACCATGAAAAGTAAACTCCCAAGAGCAGCCCACTTGGACATTAAACTATGAAGAGTGATGTGCCCCCTCCCTTTCCTGTTACAAACTGACAAAGTAAGTGCGTCAATGCTCCCAGTCATTATTTTTCCGCGGTGGCACTTTGTTTCTTCCTGACGGTGAAGAGGGCCTCAGAGATGCGACAGTCCCGTTGCAGTTTATCAATGAAAATCTAATATCGTCCATAAGGAGAGAAGTGGAAATCAATACTTCATTACCAAATTGTTAGTGAGGATGAAGAGAGATGGTTGGTGGGATTTTTTTTTTCTTTTTCTGCAGTCTTCTTGGAGCCGGGTGTCAGGAGGAGGTCAGTGGTCCAATGTCAGAAGCAAGGGTGCAACGAACGGAGAAGGGCTGGTGAGGGAGATCCAGGCAGGAAGATCCAGGCTAAGGCATTTGTCCTGCAGAGACGATCAGAAGAGAGAAAGCAGTGTTATTTCTAGAGTAGCGGCCACTATGGGCAGCTATCTTTCCCAGCTGGCTGTCCGCCCTCGTTTGCTTTGTATTGCTGTGATGAAGATCACGGGCTAAAAGCAACTTGGGTAGGAGAGGGTTTACCTGGCTTACACTTCCACATCACAGTCCATTCCTGAGGGAAGTCAGGACAGGAACTCAAGGCCGATAACCTGGAAGCAGGAGCTAAAGCAGAGGCTGTGGATGCTTACTGGCTCGCTCCTCATGGCTTTTTCAGCTCGCTTTCTTTCTTTTAAAGATTTATTTATTATATATACAATGTTCTGCACACCAGAAGAGGGCACCAGATCTCATTATAGATGGTTGTGAGCCACCATGTGGTTGCTGGGAATTGAACCCAGGACCTTTGGAAGGGCAGGCAGTGCTCTTAATCTTTGAGCCATCCCTCTAGGCCCAGTTTGCTTTTTTTTTTTTTTTTTTTTTTTTTTTTTAAATGAAGCCCAGGGCTATCTTTCATGTAACCACCTACAGTGAACTGGACTGTCCCACATCAATCATTAATCAAGAAAATGTCCCACAGATTTGCGTACGGGCCAGTCTGATGGGATCATTTTCTCAATTCATGTTCCTTCTTCGCAGATGACCCTGGCTTGGGTCAAGCTGACAAACCCCAAATAGCACAGCATCCTTGTTTCTACTAATGTTCTGAGTAGAGTCATAGTTAGTCAAGGTCAGAGTCCAAGGCAAATGATGGGACAGAAAAAACAGGGGCCAAATTAGGAATTTGTCTATTAAAATCTAGAACCAATCAAAACATATTTATATTTCCAATATTATACTGAATTGTTTTTAAACATTTATTCGTTTATTTATGGTGCATGCACATTTATGTGAGTGTGTGTGTGTGCATGTGTGTGTCTATGAATACATAGGTGTCATGGCACACATGTGGACGTCAGAGGACAACTTGCAATTAGTTCTTTCTTTTGACCATGTAAGTTCCAGGGTTCAAACTCAGGTCATCAGGCGTCTTTTACTAGCCCCCATCAAAAGACATTTATATATGGGAGAGACATACCCAGGCTCACAGAAAGTAATAATATTAATACTCATCATCGGACGAGTGGGTAAATAGAATACTGTAATTAATGCAATGGAATACTACTCAGCCTTTAAAAGGAAGGGCAACTTGATCATTCTACAACCTAAGTGAACAATGACAAATTATGCTAAGTGAAAGGAGGCAGTCATAAAAAGACAGTCATTGTGCCTGATACATTTAATGGCCACGAAATTTCAGTTTTGCAAGATGACAAATTCTGGAGAGGATAGTTTTGGTTGTACAATAATGTGAGTAGATGCAACAGCACCAAAGTATATGCCTGAAAGTGGTCATAATAGTAAAATTTATATTACATTTATTTTACTGTACTTAAAAACATAGGGGCCTGGAGAGATGTGTAAATGGAGACTGTGTAAATGGAGAGATGTGTAAATGGAGAGATGTGTAAATGGAGACTGTGTTGGGCCCCATGTTGGGCGAATGTAAGTGGAGACTGTGAGTTCTTTTCCCGGCAGCCTAGACCCAAATAATCACACAGAAATCATACTAATTACAGCACTGTTTGGTCAATAGCTTAAGTGTATTCCTAGCTAACTTTTACATCTTTTTAATTTTTGTATTGATTTTTATTGAGCTATACTTTTTCTCTGCTCCCCTCCCTGCCTCTCCCCTCCCCTTCAACCTTCTTCCATGGTCCCCATGCTCCCAATTTACTCAGGAGATCTTGTCTTTTTCTACTTCCCATGTAGATTAGATCCATGTTCGTCTCTCTTAGGGTCCTCATTGTTGTCTAGGTTCTCTGGGATTGTGAAACTTTTACATCTTAAATTAACCCATTTTTATTAATCTGTGTATCACCACAAGTCTGTGGCCTACCAGTAAGGTTCTGGTGTCCTTCTCCTTTGGCAGCTACAGGGCATCTCCCTGACTCCACCTACCCTCTCTATATCTCTGTTCTTATTTCCTGCCTGGCTTTACTCTGCCCTGCCATAGGTCAAAGCAACTTCTTTATTAACCAATGGTAATAAAACATATTCATTGCATACAGAGGGGAATCCCACATTAGAAATGTCTCAGAGATTAAGAGCACTGACTGCTTTTCAGGAGGTTCTGAGTTCAGTTCCCAGAAACCACATGATGGCTTACACCCATCTGTAATGAGATCTGGTGCCCTCTTCTGGCAGGCATGCATGCAGGCAGAACACTATGTACATAAGAAATAAATAAATCTTAAAAAAAGAAAAACAAACACATAATCTATTTTTCACCAATAAGGATTTCTGGAAAAATATAATTTCTGTTCTCTCACCCAGAGAGAGCACTCATTCATAGTTGGCTCTCTCTCTGCCCACGTTTGTCTTTTTTCATCTGTTTGCTGAGGTTCACATGGCCACTGGTTTTGCCTAGTGCCACTTGTTGAATTTTTCAGTGGAAAACATTGTTGGATTTGTGTCTGATGATGTACAGTGTGGCTGCAGCTTGCTAACCCGCTCTTATCGTCTTTTTTTTTTTTAAATTTATTTATTATGTACACAATATTCTGTCTGTGTGTGTGCCTGCAGGCCAGAAGAGGGCACTAGACCTCATTACAGATGGTTGTGAGCCACCATGTGGTTGCCGGGAATTGAACTCAGGACCTTTGGAAGAGCAGGCAGTGCTCTTAACCCCTGAGCCATCTCTCCAGCCCCCAGTCTTATTGTCTTGAACATGGACTTAGTTTCCAGTTTTATTCAGTGGTATAAAACACCCGGATAACCATTGAATATCTAGAGCTTTTCAGTATGTTGGGGGTGTTTTCATCAGCTTCACCTCCCAGGTCTAGTTTTTGAATTGAAAGAAGCGAATGTTTTCGTGGGGAGAAAACGGTAATAGAAACGAGTGGGAAGGCCAGGCAGGACAGCTGAATGGACCAGCGCTGGGAGAGGCTGAGTTTTGAGTTTGAAGCTTGCCTGGGATATACACTGAGACTCTCAAAAACCTAACCCTGAGTAAGTGGCTCGGCAAGAAAGGGCACTTGCTTCCGAGCCTGACCAGCTGGGGCTTATACAAAGGGAGGGGGAGCTAATTCTTCTAAAGTGTCCTCTGACTTCCAAGTTCGTGCTGTTACGTGTTCAGCCCTCCCCCCAACACAAATCAATGTAGAAAATTCTAAAGCCGGAAGGGGAGAAAAAGAGGAAAACTAAGGAACAATCTTTTTTTCCCTCTTGCTGTTACACTTCCTGTGAATAATCTTATCAGTTACCTCATGATAAGCGTGGTGGTACTTGTTGGATTTCTTTACTTACTTATTTTTTATGTTTTGAGTCAAGGGTCTTATTTCTTTTCTTTTTCTTTTTCTTTTCTTTTTTTTTTTTTTTAGAGACAGGGTTTCTCTGTGGCTTTGGAGCCTGTCCTGGAACTAGCTCTGTAGACCAGGCTGGCCTCGAACTCGCAGAGATCCGCCTGCCTCTGCCTCCCGAGTGCTGGGATTAAAGACATCTGCCACTAACCCTGGCTTGCAGCAAAAGCTCTTAACTGCCAGTAATCCTTTATTTTTAAAAGTTGTGTATGTATGTATGTATGTATGTATGTATGTACTGTGTGTGTACATGTGATGTGCATGTGGAGACTGAAGCCCCCTGCAAGCAGACTAACTTGACTGCTGTAGTGTAGCTGTTTCTCCCAGGTGACAGGAAAGTAGAGGATGCTGTTGCTGCTGTCAAGAAATGATGCAAAGTGCTAAACACCTTGGCAATTTAGAGGCAGATCCACAAGACATCCAAGTGCAACTGCTTTCAAATTCCAGAAATGAGGGCCTCGTATTACAGTCTAGATACAAAGCTGACCCCACATGCAAAGTTCCTGGGAGTAGCTGAACCTGGTGGTGCTGTGTGATTGTGATCCAAGGATCTGAGAGACGGAGGCAAGAGGGTCAGGAGTTCCAGGCCAGTCGGAACGACTCGAGACCCTGCCTCAAAACCAAACAAACAAAGATGAAGTTCTTCATATCCCACCACAGGGAGATGGGAGGCATGGCGTCTATGGAAGGTCAGTGTACTGAGGGTCGGTGGGCAGAGACTCGATCTTAAGTCGTTTTGGGCCAATAGGTGGTGTTCCCCCTGCCCCGTTAACTTAGAAACTTAGAAGGAGGAAAAAGAGGAAGAGGAGGGAGGTACCACTTTGCATTTTTCTCTAGTGTCTCCCCTTGCGGGGGAGGGGAGGCTTTAAAATAAGATCCTGGAAGAAAATTAAAAGTAGAAAATTAAGGAAGGCCATAAAGAGTGTTCCCTTTTCTTTGCCTGCCATGGATTACATAAACTGGGTTAAGGAAGAAAGAAACCAGAGAAAGTGACATTGCAGACTCCCAGTCTCTGTTGAAGCCCTAACTTTGTTGCTTCAAAAGCCCTTTTCTACCCCCTAATATGTTGTGCCTACTGTGAGAAAAAAAGGAAACAAATAAATAATTTAATTACATATCTAAAAAGTCACAGGCTATGTTCATTAAGTAGAGTTTGGGAGGGAGAGCCAGGCAAAAAAGATAGATAGCATTATTTTCATATTCATTAAGGAGCCACCAACAGATGTTTAGAATTCTCTATACTTTAATTTGGTCATTGTGCTGGCTAGTTTTATGTCAACTTGGCAGAAGCTGGAGTCATCTGAAAGGAGGGAGCTTCAATTGAGAAGATGCCTCCATAAGATCCAGCTGTAGGGCGTTTTCTTAAATAGTGATTGATGGCACTGTAGGTGGTGCCATCCCAAGTGGTGCCATCTCTGGGCTGGTGGTCCTAGGTTCTATAAGAAAGCAGGCTGAACAAGCCATGAGGAGCAAGCCAGTGAGCAGTACCTCTCCAGGCCTCTGTATCCTGCCTCCAGGTTCCTGCCAGGCTTAAGTTCCTGTCCTGACTTCCTTCAGTGATGAACAGTGATGTGGAAGTGTAAGCC